TCAAATTTGACTTGTCATCTTTTCTCAATTTTTCTAGACTTTTCTATATTATTCTAGTACAAGTGTGCATTATTTTTTAACAGTCTCTAAGTGATGACCAATCTTTAAACACCAAAGGGAGCCTCTTCTCTTCTGATTCTCTCTCCCCACACTCAATCCTCATGAGCACCACACCAAAATTCCAAACAGTTTTCTCTGGTAAACAAGTCATAGAGTTCTCCAAACAAAGTGTGAAACAAGAACAAGTACCAGCAGCTCAGACAAAAATGGTCCATGGTCATGGTGAAAGAAACAGAAGTAGAAGAAGAGTAGGGCCCAGCAAGAGCTTGTCTGACCTGGAGTTTGATGAGCTCAAAGGTTTTAGGGATTTGAGTTTTGTGTTCACTGAGGAAGACAAGAATTCAAAATTTGTTTCCATAATTCCTGGTTTGCAAAGGCTTGGAAGTATTGGGGAACAAGATAGAGATGAAGAGGATCAGAGAAATAATAATAATAATAATAATAATATTGATCCAAGTAGTCATCATGTGGTTTCAAGTCCTTATCTGTCTGAGGTCGATGCTTTGGATCAAAGAAATCTGAAGAACAAAAACGCCATTCAAGTTTACGAAAAATCGGCCGCCTAGGCGGGCTAGGCGGGTACTTCTTATTTTATTTTATAAATTGTATAGCCGAGCGGCTAGACTCTTTAAATAATATATTTAAAAAGTATGGTCGCTAGGCTATATAGCCGGTCGGCCGGCTGCCCTCCTTAAATAATATATTTAAAGAGTATAGCCGCTCGGTTACACTTTGCAACAACCACTACCGTACATATACCAGTTCCGCCATGTGCGAATGGGAAACCTTATAGAGCCAAAACCTGGAACCGACTTCGACAATGCCCTCGCTGCAGAATAGGCAACCCCCACCCAGAATAGCCTCTGGATCTGCAAAATGTAATCAAACCAGTGAACACTACCCGAAGTTTATTCCAAAGAAAGCTTAATCGACAAAGTGATCAACAATTTTAACGGTATTTAACGGATCCAGTTGAGCGGCAGCTGCACTCCACTTGTTAGGAAACTTTCTAAGGTGGCTCATTTGTTGTGGCTGTCTTGGCTCCCTATCCCATTCAGGGTCTAGCTTCCACTCTTTCGGGACCTGCATGTTTTAATTACTTTTAAACTCTTAAAAGTCCCAAATACGGCACTTGAAATTGAACACGCATCACATTCTTACATTATCAACTGCAAGAGTGTGGACTTCAAGATCACCGGCCGTCACTTTTGATGTGGAATAGGGTGAATGACTTGTAATTAGCAATTCGGAGGGAGGAGAAGGCTTCATCAAAGTGTATGCGAAGCCAGTTAATTCAGATAAATAAGTAACTTCCAAATACTAAAGAAACTACAGGAGTTGAGAACACCCAGAAATAAAGGAAGACAGAAGCATAATAGATTATGGCACCCGCTCTAGATAGTGATTCCATCCCATTCTTGCATATATGTTTCGGGTGACAGCCATAACCTGATAAGATTTCTTCATCGTCAGAATGCAACAAAGAAGAGAAAAAATAGCTTTCCATACCTCTGGAACATCAAATGCAGACATGAAATACTTGATGCATGCTGGATGAAGGCCAAAAGTCCATTGTATCCCAATGTCATATGGCTATCTTTTTAGGCAATTCTCAACAGAAACAAAAATGATTGAATTATCTGAAATTTAAAATAATAGATGAACAAATATAACAGGCAAGGACAGAATAACTGCCAAGATCATAAATCACATTAGTATACAGGATGAGAAAGGTGTGCTTCTTCTCTGTTCATGTAGGTCTTGAAAATGGTAAACAAGAGACTTAAAGCTGACCTGAAGTTCCCAGTAGTTTATGCTGGATACACATCTCAACACCCAGTTCCAACAGTACGTAACATAAGAATCAGTGCTGCAGCCAGGTGTGCAGACACATGAAGAACTCCAATTAATCATCAATCGTTTCTTCGGGGACCAACACAATTGCTACAATTAGCAATACCACAGATACATAAGACTGCCCCAGCATGTATCTGTAGCAGAACCAAGAGTTGAGAGGAAATAAATAAAGAAGTGAACTTTCTATAGACACCCTGACAGACAATGAAATTACAAAACTTCAAAACCGAAACTTGCCCTGCTTGAATCTTCAAATGAAGGATAAGCAGCTTTGCTCTCATTAGAAGCTCCATAAAATTTCTTAAAATTACTAAAGGTGTGGGTGGGATGTACAAAATCCCCACCACAACCATTTACAAGTAAATGTTGCACATGAACTGGGTCCTCCGTTTTAACAAATGAATGACGCATAAAATATTAACAAAAAAGCAGCCCTGTACAGCCGACCGGCTATACTATTTTTAAAACAAAAAACAAGAGAAACCGATAATAGCCCTTTTAGCCCACGAAATACGTATAGCCGCACGGCTATACTATTTTTAAAAAAGCGAGTATCGCCGCTTGGCTATACGTTTTTTGAAAAAAAATTAAAACCGAGTATAGCCGTGCGGCTATACTATTTATACGCATACGAAAAGACCCCCTGCGATTAGGTGCTCACGTGTCAAAATAAGTACAGCCGCCGGCTATACTATTTTTTACAAATTTGGAAAAAAAAAGTGAGTACAGCCGGCCGGCTATACTATGTTTGAAAAAACAAAATCAGAAAAATAATTTCTTTTTATTAAAAAAGGGACCACTTTACAACTTATAAGTTATTCTCTATACAATATTTTAATATATATTATTTTTATTCAATAATAGGTGAGAATTATTTGTATAATACGTTAATTCTATGTGTCTTATTGTAACTTTTGTTAAAAATACGTGTATTAAACATGAAAAATACATGCATACATGTACACTATTAAACGTGAAAGTGCTAAATTCTTTGTTCAGGTAATTACTCTGGGTGTCTTAAACTACTCTTATCGATAATCGGGGAAAAATATTTAAAAGAAAAAAAGGATCCCATTAAATTACTTATTTTCGTTTGGGTGTCTTAAATAAATTTATCCAGATCCCAAGAGCCCCAAGGCACAAGGCCCTAGTCTTTGATTGATATAATTATTATTAATCAAAGTCGAGCCTACAGCCCAGCCCATTAGCCCAACTTTCCAATGTTAACCACACTTACTAAACCATCTTAATGCTTTATTTGTAAATACCTTTATAGGAGTGTGGATTTTCTATGTGGAATTTTTACCAAAAAGGGCACCTCAAAAGATAAGCCTACATATAAATCCTTATTTTTATTGTTGATGCAATGTGGAAATATATTTAAACAATATAGTCATGCAACTATACTCTAAAAATTGAAAAATTGAATTACTATTTATTGAGTAATATAACTCATCAAGTTAATTAAAATATTTAATACTAATTATTCACTAAAGAAATAATAAATAAAATAAGACAAAGATAATATTTATTAATAAAAATAAAAATTTAAAAAATTAATTAACCTAAACATACTAAGTTTATATTTATTTAATTTTTTAAAAATCTGTTCCAATGAAAGTTCGTCGGCAAATTTCTATCCCGGTGAAATTTGCCATATTAGACATTTCCAGACAAAACTTCATTGGTAGCTTAAAAAGAAAAACTGAGTGCAGCCGACCGACCATACTATTTTTAAAACAAAAAGCCAAAAAACCGAGTATAGTCGTGCGGCTATACTATGTGAAAAAAAGTGGACCCCCTTGCGCCCACCAGTCAAAATAAGTATAACGGACTGGCTATACTAAAAAAGCGAGTATAGCCGCCCGGCTATACCATTTTTACAAAAAAAAAACCCAAGTATAGCCGATCGGCTATACTATTTATACATGTAAAAGAAAGAGGACCCCCTTCTATTAGACGCTCACGTGTCAAAAAAAGTATCTCCGCCCGGCTATACTATTTTCAAAAACATTAAAAAAGGCAAGTATAGCCGCCCGGCTATACTGTTTTTACAAAAATGTTGTTGCCTCCATTATAAGAATATAATTGCACATTGTGCTTTGCACATGTAACCCCTGTTCAATGAAGAAGACGACGGCAGTGAATATGAACTACAAGAAATGAAAATCAGCAACTACATGCCATTTAAGTATGAGAACATTCTCACCAAATATAGAACCATCCGCACTGGCAGATCTAGTAAGGCACAAGGAGCTGCATCTCCCCTTACCGGAAAAATCATTGTAGATGCTTCAAATTGCCCATTTGCTCAACTAGTGTATAGATTACCTTCAAATCTTTGTCCTTTTACTTTTATTTATTTTTATATTACTTTATTTACTTAAGTTTATAATGTAAATAAGGAAGTACCCCATATTTGGATTCAAATAAAAATACTAGAAAATCAAATTCCTACCAAATCAAAATATGAAAATTCGGTTTTAGTGCAAAATACGATTTAGGCAAAAAATGATGGCTCATTAAGTCAATATATATTTCATACTAAAATCTCATAAAATCAAGTTTTCTTATTCGATGTGTAAGGAATAAAAGCCGCCAAAAATTGTCTTGAGAAAATGATTATTCCGAAAAACTATTTTTCTTACTTAGTCAATATTGCACCTCCGCTAAAAAATTTATGGATCCGCCAGTGCCATCAGGACTCCATCGGATATATTTAACAAATACATATGACTCTTTGACCAGAGCTTCCTGAAATAATTGATATTGGTTCAAATTTCGGATCATATCAGTAAGGTCGAAAGAGTAGTGCATAATCCAGAAGTAGACGCACCTTTAAGGCCATCGGGCCTGTGTCAAGATTCCAGACTCTAAAATTTCTCAAAAGCATTCCCCGGAACTAACATCCCATGGTGGTCCTATGTCTCCAACACAAGTTCCAACTGAAGAATCACATTAGCAGGATTCATGAGTGAACTATGAAAAGAAGTTACAGCACACGATCATCCTAAAAAGACAAGAAATTTATAACGATGGGAAAAAAGAAAAAAGAACATAGTTTCTCATTACTTAACATAGAAGAATTGTCTGCCAAATGGGATGAAAATCCGTGCTCATTGGAGATGAGCCCTCATTTAGTGTCAGGGCAACAGTAGTGGGCAAACCATTGGGTATGGCAACTGTGGACATGTGACTTTGGCCAGGATCAGTAACAGTTGATTTTACCTAAACGAATGAAAGGAAACCAAGGTCAAGAAACACAAGTTCTATTATGTAATTCTGTACATAAATTTGATTCAGATTACCTCATCCGAAATCGGAAACAAGATTTTTTTGGACAAACATGGATAGTCAATAACCACTATAGCTGTAGCCACAAAAATGTAACCAAAAGTTAATAATAACAACTATGCAAAGTATAAAATGACGACACACTTCAAACATAAATGAGAGGGTACCAGTACCCAACAACATCACTTGAAGAACTAAAATAAAATACCTGGGCTCTTTGCAGCATTGAGAGATACTGCTCCCGGAGAGAGCGCATCTTGTGTTACAGATAAATTTTTGGCTCAGCAGAAGAAGTTGGAAGTGAATTTGGTGTTGCCTGTGAAGGATAATACAGAAGGTTAGTGTGGCTGATGAGCAGGAAGCATTGGTTAATGGGGACCAACAAGAAAAGAATTTCAGTTTACCAGAACATATGTTACTTGCAAACTGTTCCCAGTCGATAGAGACAAAGACAAACAGTCCTGCCATTCACAAACATGATCAATGAAAAGGGTTTCAATTACTGTTGAATCGGTATCAACCTTTATATTTTAGGTTGAAAACAAAAGCTGAAACTGCAGAGAAAGAAGGATAGAAAGCAGAGTATTTTGAAATGTTCAGTATATTTTCACTATAAAAAAACACAGAGGAATTACATGAGACATGACTATATTCCTCTTCTCAGTCAAAATTCAGATCCTATTTTTTAGGGAGCATGGACTCATCTCCAGCCATACAGACCATAGGAGGCTACGATCTTTCCACTTGGAGAAAGATCGGATGGCACAGTACAATCTAAATGGGATAAGAATAACAGCTGTGAAGGTTTCTAAAAACAGAAATAAAGCTAGCTGTTACAAATTTAAACTAACGGCTATTTCTAAAAAAGGCAAATACTTCATTCTCTTCACTTCCAATCTGCAGGATTGTCATCTGCAGGTTGATTTAAGCTAAGTATGCAGCTTAATTCTCAACAATAACTGGATTTGGACAAAAATCAGTAAGTGTAGACACTGAGCAGGATCATTGGTTAATGAGGACAAATACTTAGGAAAAATAAATTTATGTCACCAGAACATATCTTACTTCCAAATTGTTTTCAATTGGTAGAGGCAAAGGAACATCTTCCTGTGGTTCACAAACATGATCAACGAAAAGAGTATTAATGACTGGATTTGGACGAGGGTTTTTACACTGTTTATGCTGCCAATTCAAGCTGTCAAGTTAAACACACAAGTCAGTCTCTCTCCCAGTTACAAAAACTGGAAAGTGACTAAATCTTTTACTAAATATGTATGAACATATGCAATCACAAAATAGAAAGGAAGACAAAAACTAGGAGGAAGCATTACCTTTGGTTAATGAGATTATTTAATCTATGACTTTTGATGCTAGGATACTTCAGTTTGCCACGGAAAACTGGATTTGCCTCAGTTCTTTCATCATAGTCTTCCTCATGGACATTATATCTCCGCATATAGAGGGTGTCTTATGATCCCTGTTGGATTGAACCCGTACACATGTGATGCATTTTTTTGAACAGCTCCTCATTACCTTCGGCAAAAATTTTGAGATCCTTCATGAGGATATCTAATGCCTTGGCGTGACAATTGCTGTCAAGAATGAACCAAAAACTTGCAGAACATGGTATTTTTTAAGAGATTGTTTATGTATAGATTATAAGAAGCTTAAAAAAAATGATGTTCTCACTTGTCAGTGGCCTCAAGGAAAGGCTAGTGATTCTTTTGGCGTGACCCTCAAGCTTCCTTGTAACCTGCAAAATATATAAATCGAGGCAATGACAAACTTTTCAGGTTTGCTTCATCACAACATCGAGCATGATTTGTTTTTTTTACAAGAACAAACAAACTACCTCGTCTGAGTGGAGATTGTATATTACAATGGTGGAATTGTCCATGCCAATAGCAACTATACTGTCATCTCAGGGGTGAAAAGCAAGACATGTTGCCACAGGTGGCGGTGGCATGACTTTTTTCATTGTCTGCATTTTTACGCAACAGATGTTTATGAGTACAATGAGTTAGATCATGAGAAATTTGCAAACAGAACCTACGCATATTGACA